ATATATATATATATATATATATATATATATATATATATATTTGTTAATAACGATTTACAGACAAATGCACATTATTCTACAAAATTAAAAGGATATGTTTTATTAAGTCCAAATTAAATTCCAGAGGAGAAATGCAAGATACGTAAAAATAATCAAATACTGCAAAGGACAAAACTGGAGCGTTTAAGTATCCAAATCACTGAGTCCACTCAAGAACAAGGTCTAAGACTTTTCTCAAGAGGAAGCTCGAACACGGCCCGCTGAGCGAAGCGAGGTTTTACCGCCTCTCTATGTTAACGCTTCAGCCTGTGAGGCGACAGAACCAAAGGCTTCACCAGCCGATCCTCATTCAAAACACACACACACATACACGCACACCTGAAAGAGAGAGCTGGAGAAAGAGGAGGAAAGAAAGGAGAGAGAAGGCTGTGTCTGACATTACAGCGCTGCTCCAAAAATAGCTCCCTGGCGCCCTGGCCTCCAGCTTGGTTGTCATGGCGACAGAACCACAGGCGCTATAAATAGACAATCGGCTCCAAATCTTGTGCTACTGGAGAGGGGCCAGAAAGAGGGAGCGAAGAGGGGAAAAAAAGAAAAAATGACAAGGAAGAAGGGAATGAAAGAGCGATAGGAGAGTGGGAGAGAACCACAGTGAGGAACAAAGAGATACAGACGAAGCAACACGGGGAATGGAGGGGGTTTGAGAGAGCAGAGGAAAGAAAAAAAGCTAAAAAAATCAACAAAAAACATTTTATGTCTATAAAAAAGTGGAAGAAAAAAGACTAGAATGAAGCACAAATGTAAAAAAGGAGAGAGACAAATGCAGAACACTAAAGTGCAAGACTAAAACGATCCAGATATGCAACAAAAACTATAAATACAAAAAAAGTGGTAAAGACACAAAGGACAAAAATAAATAGTCTATACAGTAATCATTAAAAAAGAAGAGGAGCAAAGACAAAATTAAAAACTACATCAAAAAGAGAATGGAAATAGAACATGTTTGTTACAACAGCAGTTGAACATAAGGAAAAATAGAATCACTAAAACACAGGATTCAGAAAAAGAGTTAATGAAAACCAAACTTCTGCC